AGCTTAATTGCATTGAATACATTTATGCCTTGACACTTACCTCACGCTTTGCCTCTCTTTTTTCTTTTGGAATAAAAGATCACTATAACATATGCACGAATGGGTAAAAAAGACACAATGGTGCAGGTGTGCACGTGAGGGGTGCAAATAATCGAATTGCCTCAAACCCTGGCAACTCACACTACACGGTTGAAGACTCCAGTTCCTGAGGCCTGCTTCGGGCCAGAGTTGACGTGGACTGGGTCACGGCGCATTAAACACCATCGACTTTCGACTGGATCCAAACAAAATGTGCTGTGCTCTGTCTGTGAGAGACAGCAGTACGTTTGAACCATCATTACTGACATTTGCATGGATTCCCTATGAGGATGGCTTGCCTCCTGATTGCATTCAATGTTATTGCGGTGAACGCGGCGTGCGCTAAGCCCTTACACCGATCGCTGATGCGGTGGGCATGCTGTCAATATTGGCCCATTCACAGTGAGTGAGCAAATCTCCCCTTGACATGGCAAGCCATGCGTGTAATAGCTAGGATTAAGATAGGAAGGTACACACATGAATATACAACACAGCACTGCAGAGATCCCAGCCTTGGGAAATTAGCGAGGCCACGGGTATGCGGCTTGCTCGGAGACAACGCAGATAAAGAGCCCGGACATCAGCTGTTCGCTGGTGGCTGCCCTGATGATGAGTGACGCGCTTCTATTTGAAGCAATTGTGAATTTGTTAAGGCAATTGGGATTCTTGTATGAAATGATGTGACACAAGGCGGAAGAAAATATGTCAGACTCATTGTGCATAGGTGCTCGGATTAACATGATGTAAATGGCTTTTACAAGCAAGGTCAGCTGCTTTGTGTGGCGATGGTTGCCATAGCTTCCTCACAGACGTTTCGTAATTCCTAACCTTGTAGCGGCTATTATTGTTTTCTTTTTTTTTTTTTCCACATTCACCTCCTGAAATGCACAACGCAATGCAACCCTAATGCATGTGTTAAAAATCAGTGGATTTAAAAGAAAAAAAAAAAAAGAAAAATTTATGGTCATGCAATCATATTCCGATATTCAGACACGTGCGCAAAGCTTAACTTTCTCCTTCACCCTTATTAATTTCGCATTATGCTACTATAGTGTGGATGAATTTTTCCATTAATCGGATGCCTGTGCTGGCCTTTGTTATTTTACATGAAGTGACAATATTTACAGAGATGATTGGATGTTAGCATGAGAGTGATTGTGAAACATGAGAGGGTTTAAGCCCCTTTTTGGTTCACATCCTGCTTGCTTGCAAAAGTGCAAATGGGTATTTTCCGTCTCCCACTCTTAGCCTAATTGGCACTTAACAGCCGCCTCTAATGGCCGCCTTGATGGTTGTGCTTCTGCTCGTTCGCCCGAGTGTAGGAAACAGCAATGCTCCGACTCAAACCAGCTGAGGGTGCACCTTCGCTTGCACCCTCTGCTCCCATCATTCCCTCCCCCACTTTTGTGCTCGTCGCTGGGGAAGGAGTTTGCGTTCCAGACAGCCCAGAGCGCTCATTATCGCTTTCCAGAGTCAGCCTGTCGCTCTGGAATTCACTCCTCCTCCTATCCAGTAGTCGTCCCCCCCCATCTTTGCCTTTTCCCACAGCTCTTCCACAAGCATGAAGATGTCAGGAGTTACCCTGTATCCAGGCTCCCGGCGAGAAGCAATTCTGACATATGGTTGCTACACTTTATCTTTATTTCACTAACCCTGCTCATCTTGAGCAAATGTCCTTTTCTGCGGCAACGGCAAAAGATGTGCTTGTGAACAGACAATTTTCTGAAAACGTAAAGGTCATCACAAAGGCGGGAAGATATCATTCATCGAATGAGGGGAAGTGAAGCTGCATTCAAGGTCTTTTGGTTGCAGCAAACAACAGTGATGGTGCATGCAATCAGGCATCTTTTTAAATGCACTTTGATCAGACAGCAGTCAGGTGGACGATCTTTTGACGAGCTTTGTAACGGCACGATCTTAACATTTTGAGAAATCATGTTGAAATGATGGAAAAAGTTCAAGTACGGCGTGTCTCCGGTAAGCCCGGCAAAGTCAGCTAGCCGCATTAGCATTCCCACATGGGGAAAGGCTGTGAGTCGGAATAGAAATGGGCTGGTTCAGTGAGCAGAGGGAGTAGAGGTCCCATTCGTCTTGTCCTGTTTAAATACACTGGTTAACTCCTGCCAACAGGGAAGCCATTCAGCAAAAGGCCAAGGGCATCTGTCATGTGTTTCAGCACATTGATATTGTCCCCCTGCATCTCCCCCGTACTCTGCCGCTCTCTTTCCTCCATCTCTCCCACCACTGTCACTGTTTATCGCTCACTTTTCTCTCCGTCCTCCCGGTCCACCTCTCAGCGTCGTCTTCTGGTGAGACGGGTGAATATGCACAAGGCTGACATGATTAGCAGCGTCCTAGCCCCATGACGGATGGCGCCTGCTCCATTATTAATATAGTAAAAGCAGGGGCTGCCAGGTAACGGCAATGTCTGCATCCACAATATAATGCTGCATGCCCTGTGAATAATAGCCGCCTCTTATTTCTTTTTTTCTCTTCTTTCTTTTTTTTTTTGCAACCTTCTGGCTGCTGGTGTTGGCTGCTATGGGAATCTTGAAGTGGGGAAGGACATATAAAGGGAAAGAAAATGACAGTACACCATTTGTTGTAGTTTCTCATTAAAAGACGAACAAGCTATACAATCTATGAAATATGGAGGAGGTTTAGTGATGTTCTGGGCTTGCTTCGCTGCATCTGGCACAGGGTGTTTTGAATCTGTGCAGGGTAAAATGAAATTTCAGGACTATCAAGGCAGTCTGGAGCAAAATGTGCTTCCCGGTGTCAGAAAACTTGGTTTCAGTGGCAGGTCTTTGATGCAAAAGTCACAAAATACTCAAGATTGGCTGAGAACAAAACATGAGGCTATGCTGAATGGCACTCACCGAAACCCTATTGAACATGTGACAAAGAAGGCAAATCTCGCAAGGGGAGGGCACTCTTCAAACCCGTGACAGCTGGAGCAGTTTACTCACATGGAGTGGGCCAAAATATCTGTCGGTAGGCGCTAACAGTACGTCTCATTGAGGGTTCCATAAATTGCTAGATCGAGGTGAATGCCTCAAAAGGTTGTGTAACACAATATAAAGAAAAAGTTGGTGTGATGTTTATCCTGACCAGCATCATTCAATAATGCTGTTGCACCACAAAAAGAAAGGAATTCAGGCATGCAGCATCAATCGTTGCAGATTGCCGCAGGATGTTTTGAGTCTGCCTCCTCAAATGCAGGACCGTAACACCTTTTTTCAGACCATGTTTAAGTGTTGATGTGCACGTTGTGCCAATTTGAGAGATCCTTTCACTCACCAAGAAATTCCATGCAATTTCTTTTTTTCTTTTGCCATTGTGGTGTACAAAGAAGCACAAGGAGATGAGCCAAGACACAGATGCAAAGTGTCCACTTTTATGTCACTCTTCTCATCTTACTGAACACACATGGCGAAATCCAAATTGTGATGTAGGCTTGTCGGTGAAGGTGGTTGCTAGATTAGGTTTGGGATGGTCATGGCAGTAAGAGACGGATGAGGAATAAAAGTAGATGTAAAGAGCAACAAGGAGGAATAAAAGCAGCATATCAGGGGCAACAGTGAGAGGAAGAAGAAGGAGAGACGGAGTGAGTTGTGTCAGATGGATAAATGTCAGCCGGAGCTTTGTCGTCCATCTGAACCAAATGTTCCTTCCCAAAATGCCATGCACAAATCACATGGCCTCCTCCCCTTCCACACAGTAATGAGATTACAGACCTCAAGAATTCTGATGCGCTCATCCACGGACAGAGCAAATAATCTGAATCACTTACAACTGAAATGCATCTTTGTCATTCCGAGCACATCCAGTCCACAACTTGCAGAGCATGGGTAACATGCCAGCGGGTCACAGTAATATATGGCTACAACTACACGTACACAGCGTCTGTTTTTGACCATTACAGTGTCGGAGAGAATCACCATCCACACCTATGCCATTTTATAAAAATACCGTCTGCTCATATGAAAAGGCATTTGCAGGATGTCAGCATATCAAAGGCACAGATGGCTCCATAACTCTTAGGTAGAAAGCACTTTTAGCCAGAAGCCTACAGAAAGCCATTTCTCGAAATGGCTCACAACACAGCACAGCAAAATTGCACTTTAAAGTTAGCAAATATTCACCGCAAAAAAAGATCACAATTAAATTACTTTATGTAAGTCGATTATGGCACACATTGCGCTATTGTGTGTCTACAAAGCAATCAAAGCAACTGTAAAAAGCATATTGTTTTAACTGTGCGTTAAGGTCATCCACACTAAACCATGAGAACACATCAAGCGTTTTAAATTACCTCGAACCCAATTTGAATGTGCACAAAAGTTGGTGTATTTTTAGAGCTGTATTTATGTGCCTGTTTCAGGCCAAGAAGACTTATTAACCTCATTCAACAAATTGTGTGCATCTTGGGGTACTGGAGTTCTCGTTCTGACATCCAGTAGGTTGCTATAATGCAGGTGTAATGCAAAACCTCACATCCTGTATCTCACAATAATTAAATATTTGCTCTGTGAAACAATACCGGCCAGTCCTGCCTGTACAACTTCACCCCACGGCTTCTGCTAGGAGACTATCCTCTCAGACCTTCATCCAAATCTAATATAGCCATCCATAAATAGCGCGCCTATCCAGCCCATATTGGCCGTGAGTGACAATACGCTGGAGCCAATCCGGCTCGTCCGATTCTCTTAGCCCCTCCTCTCCACGCTCCACCGCTGCTTTAATGCACCCTCAACCGCCCATTTACCTTACACGGACAAACAGGGGAGTTGATTGACACAGAGAGACACGCCCCTTCGTTTACACTCGCCCCTCCCCTCCCTTGGCTTCTCATCAGGGTCTATTTTGGCAATACGGATACACATGGAGCCTCCATCTCCTCCGATCTATTTTACGCACCGAGCCCGGTAATGCGCGCAAGTCCTGATCATCACCTTCTGAGAAATCGATCTTCTTGTGGACTAATATGACAAACGTGCGCGTATAGAGAGGCGTGACACCGCAGAAAGAGGAGGCGCATTTCCCGTGGATCAGTCTCTCTTTTACGTACGCGAGCGTCAGCATGGACCTCCTGGCGAACCATAGTATATTTCAGGAACTTCAGCTCGTGCATGACACCGGCTATTTCTCCGCCATGCCCTCGCTGGAAGAGAACTGGCAGCAGGTAAGTGTCCAAATGGCGCGGGGCTGAAACTGAGCACCTGTGCACTCAGAAAAAAAAGACGCCAACTTTTGAGCTAAGTAGTATTCGATACATCCAAAAAAATCGTTTTTTGTTTTTGTTTTTTTTTTTTTTGCCTCTATCACTCATACAGTATACTGTATGTGACACTTTTCCCAGAGCTGGATGGGATGCGGACGCACGCCGGCACGTAATAAAGCTGTCAAGTGTGATTTGGAAAGATGAAGATGCGCAGGCCATCACCGAGACAGAATTGGTCGTGAATTATACATCCGCATTACCGAGTTGTGAAGCCCCCACACGAAGAGATGCGCGCACTCCCTCACCCCCCATTTCCCTCAACAACCCCTCACCCGCCTTCTCTCCTTATCCATAATAGATACCCTGACATGTCTGTCTTTGCATCTTTTAGGTATAATGCTGACATAAATATTCCAGAAACATTCCAGAAACCCATTATCTCTCTCCTTGTATCTTACTTTCTGAATACAAGTTCAGTGGACGGCTGGGGAGGTGCGCACGTGGTCGCATGGTGATCGAGGCGATTTGTCATCGTCTCCACAAATTCACATTTTAGATAAAAGAATACATATTTTTCAAGCATGTCGTTTTTTCGTATAATTTGACAGTTTGGGTGAAATTGAAAAACGGGCAATGTTACTGCTCTTTATTTATTTATTTTAGCACCACCTGCATAGCTGCTTCTCGTGATGATGCTTATGAAGCTCCATTTGACAGAGCAACCAAAAGAGAGAGAGCAAACAAACATTATATATGGGTAAACATAACATTGTTAAGCGTTCTTGTCTTTGCTCCATGCCAAAAGAAGGGGGGGGGGGAAGAAGGAGAACATTGCTTGACGATGGATCCATTCATTGTGGCCAAGCAGCCTAATTGGCATCCCACTGTTATCCACCAACACATCTTTTCATAACATGCTCCCAACTCCCTGCCTCCACTCTCAGTGGATTTTTAAATGGCACTCCCGCACTTCACCCCCTAGCCAGCATCTCTGAATCAATACCTAATGCAAATGGAAGCGAGTGTAAGAGCTCTTATCTGGAGAGGCTGGAAATGTCAGTTTGCTTTGACTGGGATGATAGCCTGCAGCCCGCAAGATGTAATTCATTTTGGAATGGAAAAACAATGTCCTCCGACTAAATTGGACAGGACTTCTCCAACTTGTAGCAATGTGTATGGCGTTTGTTTAATACTGCAATATGATGATTTATTGTATATGTCAGATTATTTGCTGCATCTTGAAATTTCTTGTCGATTAGAATATTGATACCACAGCAACTCGACCAAATTGGAACAATCCCACAAACAGTCTCGTGTGTCTCCTTACCAATAGAAATGACCAAATATTGCCTTACTTTACACTTTGACAAGCACTCTGTTGGCATGTTTACAGAGCAAGCTGTATGTATGCCTGCTGCAACAACATGAAGATGTCGCTGAGTCCGCCTAAATTCAGGAATCCGAAGCTTGAGGTTTGAGCAGTTTGCTCTTGTCTGGCCACAATTCTGAGTATGATGTCTTTATGGGCTGAAGATAAGAGGGCACTGCTGTCGGACCAAAATGGCTTACGGAAATGTGATGGTGAGGGTGGTGACTCTGTCCCCTTCCATCGGTGTCTTCGAGGCGTGATTCGAGCTGTAAAATGTGGATGGGCAGCAGACATGAATGGGCCAAAGTGTTTCCAATGTCTGCAAATAGTACTTTTGAGGGCGCTATTTGTTGCATTATTGGAAATGTCTCACAACCCAATCCCCGCATTGTCGCTCATTCAGCGTTGGAACAAATAGCTGCAAGCTAATATGCTGGAATTAGTTGTGATTTTTTTTCCCTCAGAGAAGCACAACCCAACACCACCAAGGACTTACCTCAGCTGGAGTTCTACCAATGTTTGTTGTGCGCTTTGTAAACTGCCATCCACTTTGATAAAGCCCTATGTGACATGTGGGCAGACACATATTGGCATCTTGGGTGATTTTTCAGCAGCCTTCAGACTCCGCTGATGATGCAGCTTATTTCTGTAGCACTTGACCCTGATTGGTAGCAGGACACCACAAACGACTGTGTGTCATTGACCCCAGGACACACTCCATGCCCTCCAACACATACAATATATTATCCCTTATGGCTTCAACACGCTTCGCTTGCGGACACACACACACACACACACCCACACACACACACACACAAACACACACACACACACACACACACACACACACACACACACACATATG